AGAGAAGAAAAGGAAAAGGAAAAAAGAAAAAAGGGAACAATACAGTAGGAATAGAATTAAGTCATTAAACTAACAGAATCAATGAAGCACACTCTGAGACATTTCGTTTAAGTCCAATGTCCTTTCAGGTCTGATTTCTATTTTTCTTTTCAAGCTGGTAAATTAGTTTGCAGTTAGGGTCAGTTGCCCCTGGTCTGCTGTGAAGGACAGTTCAGATCACCCTCCGTTCAGCACTCTGGTCTGTGTCTTTATCAAGCTTGTTTCTCCCGTTTTAGTGTTGTTACCTTGAATCGCCAGCAGGTGGTGCTATCTCAGCTGCTCGCCCCAGAGCAGGTGGGGCCGGACAGGAACAGGATGGCTGCCTGCCTCAGAGCAGGCAACAGGAGCCTTAAGGCAGGTGGGCAGGACAGTCTCGGTCGCAGGAGAGGTGGCAGCGATCCCAGCAGATCTTCCCTGAAGGGGTTTGATGTGGATTGCCTCGGCCCGGGTGGTGTGATGTCCTACGGCCATCACAGAGGCTGCGGCAGCGGCGGCGGCAGGGGGAGGAGCTGCGGCAGCGGCACCCTTTGCGCCACAGTGACTGTTCAGTCCGTTGCGATGTCCCAGCGGTGGCAACGGCCGAGCTCCGTATGAAGAGCAGGCTGCAGTGTTGGGGTCCACAGCCCCCCGGGGCGAGAGTCAAAGACCCACTGCAGATCTCCTTTGCAGAGGGCTTCAGAGACCGGGTTGCCCCGTCGCCGTCTTGCCGCTTCTCCTATTATTATTTTTTGAGTCGGAGTCTCACTCAGTCACCCAGGTTGGAGTGCAGTAGCACGCTCACAGCCACCCCAGCATCATCCTGCTGGGCTCTGGTGATCCTTCTGTCTGAGGCTTGCAAGTAGCTGGAACTAGAGATGAGCGCTACTATATCCAGCTAATTTTTGATTTATTGTAGAGACGAGGTCTTGCCAAGTTGCCCGGCTGGTCTCAAACCTGCGGGTTCAAGCAATCCACTCACCTCGGCCTCCAAACTGCTGGGATTAGAGGCTGGACCACCAAGCCCAGCCTCAAGATTCTTAATGATTTACAGTAGCCAAGATGTGGAAGCCACAGAAGTGACCATCAGTGGATGAACAAATAAAGATATCACACACTCTCAGTTATAAATGGGAGTTCAACAGTGGGTACCCAGGCACATAAAGAGGGAAATAATAGATACTGGAGACTTGAAAAGCAGAGGCTTGAAGGGGACGATGGGTTCAAAAATTACTTATTGGCTGCAGCGCTCACTATTCAGATCATGAAACACTAACAGCCCAATCCCCACCTGTGTGCAATATGCTCACGGAACAAACGTGTAATTATACTCCTTGAATCTAATATTTAAAGAAAAGAAAATGTGGTATATATACACAATGGAATACTATTCAACCTTTAAAAAACAAAAGGAAATCTTGCCATTTGCAATGACATGGATGAGCCCAGAAGACACTGTGCTAAGTGAAATAAACCAGACACAGACAGAGACCACATGACCTCACTCACATGTGGAAACTAAAAAGGTCAAACTCACAGAGACAGAGTAGGAGGGTGATTTCCAGCGGCTGGGAAGTGGAAACAAAGAGATGTTGGTCAAAGGATAGAAAGTTTTAATAATGCACATGAACGCATTCTGGTCATCAGTCTATAGCTTGGAGACTATATTTAACAATACTGACCAGGGTGAGGTCCAAACTTTACCCTTTACCTGTACAATGTCCATTTGTATACCTAACCCTGAATCGTACCCCACATATTTATTTACTTATTTATTTATTTTTATTATTTCTTTTGAGTTGGAGTCTCACTCTGTCACCCAGGCTGGAGTGCAGTGGCACATTCACAGCAACCCCAGCCTTGACCTGCTGGGCTCCGACGATCCTTCCACCTCAGCCTTCTGAGTAGTCGGAACTATAGGTGCACACTACCGCGCCCGGCTAATTTTTGATTGTAGAGACAAGGTCTCATCAAGTTGCCCAGGCAGGTCTCGAACCCGCAGGCTCAGGCAATCCACTCACCTCAGTCTCCAAAAGAACTGGGATTACAGACTGAGCCACTGAGTCCAACCACCCCACGTCTTTAAAATAAAAATTAAAAATTAAAAATACTGTATCGTATACTTAAATTTTGTCAAGATGATGGTTCTTTTTTTTTTTTTTTTTAGTTGGAAGTCTCACTCTGTTGCCCAGACTGGAGTGCAGTGGCCACTCCCAGCCACTGCAGCCTCGACCTGCTGGGCTCCAGCGATCCTTCTGCCTCAGCCTTCCGAGTAGCCGGAATTACAGGCACGCGCTACCACACCCGGCTGATTTTTTGATTTATTTTAGAGATGAGGTCTTGCTTCCCAGGCGGGTCTCGAACCCGCAGGCTCAGGCAATCCACTCACCTCAGCCTCCCAAAGGCGCGGGATTACAGGCTGAGCCACCGAGCCCGGCTTTGTTTTTTTTTTTTTAACTTAATTTTATTATAGAGATGTTGGGTACAAGTCAGGATTAGATACATAAGTATCTACATGTATGTGAAGTTTGGGCTCCCGCTGGTCCTCACTTCGCTTGGTTTAGGACCAAGTATCCTTCGTGTTGTATGTGCCCCCCCACCCTGGCAGTGTCCAGCAACTGTTGATCCCTCTTTTGTGCTATTGTGGTTAATGTTCAGGTCCCACTTATGAGTGAGCACATGTGGTATTCAGTTCTTTGTTTCTGTGACAGATCACTAAGTATGATGGTCTCCAACTCCACCCAATTTGCTGCGAAGTCCATGATTTTGTCCTTCTTTGTGGCTGTGTAATACTTCATCATGTATATGGACCACATTTTCTTTATCCAGTCCACTTTCAGTGGGCAGCAGGATTGGTTCCAGGTCTTTGCTATTGTGAATAGTATGATGAAAACATGCCTGTGTAAATGTGTTTTTTGTAGAATGATTTTGAGTTCCTCCAGGTATATTCCCAGGAGAGGGATTGCTGGATTGTTCTTTTAAAAATCGCTACACCATTTTCCATAGAGGATGAACTAGCTTGCACTCCCACCAGCAGTGTAAAAGCATTCCCTTTTCTCCACATCCTTGCCAGCATCTGTTGTTTTTTGATTTATTAATGATGGCCATTCTTATTGGAGTTAGGTGGTATCTCAATGTGGTTTTGATTTGCATCTCTCTGATGATTAGTGAGGCTGAGCATTTTCTCATGTATCTGTTGGTTGCCCACATGTCTTCTTTTGAAAAGTGTCTAATCATGCCTTTTGCCCATTTTTTAATAGGGCTGCGGTTTTTTTTGTTTGTTTGTTTGTTTGTGTTTGCTTTTTCAGCTCATTTGAATTCCTTGAAGATCCTGGACTTTATGCCTTTGTCAGATACACAGTTGGCAAATATTTTTTCCCATTCTATGGGTTGTTTTCCTGCTCTCTTGATGGTTTCCTTTTTAGATGTCCTCACCACCCACACACACACGTGTGACTGTGAGGTGATAGATACGTGAACTAACTTGATTGTAGTAATCATTTCACAGCACACATGTATATTAAAATATCATGTCATGCACTAAATAAATGACATTTTACCTGCCAATTACCTATTTACCAGCAAAGCTGGGGGCAGGGGACAGATCCTTAATTTAGTCACATCTGCAAAGTCCTTTTTGACAAGTAAGGTCACATTTACAGGTTCCAGGGATCAGGATATGGCCATCTTTTGGGGGCCATTATTCAGCCTGACACCCTTCCCCAAAGACAACCCACAATTCCTGTCTAGGATGAGAACTGAGGAACTGATAGCCTCCCTTGGAAAGCAGGATGACAAAGACAAGAGGACAAAGTCCTTTCGTTGAACTTGGGTCTTCCCATCAATGCTGGCATGGACGGGCCATCCTGTTGGGGGCAGCGACCGAGAGCCTAAGCTCCCAAGGCTGATCCTGGCTCTGCCCTACCCACCTTGTGGGGCCCTTAGGCAGGCACTTTCACTCTCCATTTCCTCATCTGGATGTTGGGAATGGCAGCAGTCCCTCGTTCTGCGGCTGTTTCAAGGATGAAGTGACTCCCCATGTCTGGATTCCATGGAAAACTGAGCCTGAGGCATGGAATCGAGAGCAGGTGGCTTATTTGGGGAGGGACCTCTGGATGCAGAGTGAGAGAATGGACAGAATCAGGACACATGGCAGCAAAGACATCCCATAAGGGGGGAACCATTGAGTTAGTTCACTGGTGAGCAGCTCAGATGGGATATTCTGGACCCCTCTAAGGAACCAGGCAGTATATGCCTCAGGGTCCATGCACACCTAAGAGGAAAAATTGTCTGCACGTGACTGAGAAGGGTCTCAGGACGTACTTGAAGGGACATGAGGAGGGCAGGGTGGGAAAGTGAGAGACACTTTCAAGGACAACTCCAGGCAAAGGGTATGGAAGCCACCAGGAGCTCTGGGGAGGGAGCTACGCCCTGCACACTGTATCTCCTGGAGACAAGGAGTCTGGGCTTTGCACCACTCAGTCCATCACTGGACAGAGAGTCGGGGGGGCAAGGCCTACGCCCAGGTCACTCTGAGGGACCCCACTCTAGCCTCCCAAGTGCAGTCTTCTACAGAAGATGCTACATTCACGTACACCCGCAGCACCTGTGATTAGGGCACTAAGCCAGGAGCAGGGTCCCGGGAGACACGAGGAGAGCTCAAGCCACATCTCCTATGACCGCATCTGCTGTTCTCAAAAGCACATCTGTGTGTGCCCAGTGTTCTGCTCCCACTTATAAATGAGAACATGCAGTATTTGGTTTGCTGTCTCTGTTACTTCACTTAGCATGATGGCCTCCAGCTGTGTCCGTGTTGCTGCCAAGGACATGATTTCACCGATGTCTACTCACCACTAGGGTCTAGTCCTCATGACAGTGTCCACAACCAGCCATGGAATGTTCCTCCTCCTCGTGCTGTTCCCTGGGCTATAGAACAGAAGGAAGATTCACCTGCCCCCTCCCCTTTCTCTCTCACCTGTCCACAGGTGTCCGACAGATGTGACTATGTCTTTGTCAATGGGAAGGAAATGAAAGGCAAGGTGAATGCGGCAGTCAACTTCACCTACCAGCACCTGAGCGGCGCCCTGGAGGTGACAGTGTGGGTGCCTCGGCTTCCGCTGCAGGTCGAGGTCTCAGACACTGAGCTCAACCAGATCAAGGGCTGGAGGGTGCCCATTGTCTCCAGCAAGAGGTAGGTGTATGCCTCCAAGTCCTCAGACAACGACGCCCAGGCCACATGGGCTAAGAGGGAAGCCTGCAGGGTGACTGATCTCAGGCACCCCCAGATCCGAGGATTCGAGAGGTCTTAAGGACAGAGTCTCTCTCCCCACCTCGCAGCTCCTACACGCTCCCTATGGGCTTCAGCCTCCAGCGGGTGTTTCCCCTTAGGCTCCAGATGGTCCTGTTCTCCCCTCTGTAAGCCCAGCAGAACATACCTCTCCTGATTCCCAAAGGCCCCAGCAAAAGTCCTGGATCTGAGTCTCATCTTCACCTGGGTTGTGTGTCCATCCCTGACACACAGTAGTTACTGTCCAGTAGTTACTATAGCCAGTAGTTACTTCAGCCAGGTGGCTCAACTTCAGCCACAGGCCCCAGAGGAGCCAGAGGAGAAGATGAAGAGGTCAACCTGGTCTGGACCCATGGTTCAATTAGAAGAGAAGGAAGGAGCAGATGACAGGTGTCCCCTGGGAGGACATCTGGACAGATGCTGCTTGCCCTGAGCTGCATCTCCATGCCCTGGTCCAGAAGGTCTGAGTTCTTTGCCTGGGTGAAATGAGGGCCAAAGCATGTCCATGGTGTGCCTCATACTTGACTCTGATAGTGCCTGGTAATGTCATCAGGTTGCACTGTCAGGCGACCACGTGAGCACCTTGCAGAGAGAGTTGTGGAAGCTCAGGCTGTCCACTCACAGATTGCATCCTCTAGAGAAATCCATGCATTAGAAACATGTGGAATGCCAAAAGTAAGTACATGCATAAGTAGACATAGAGGCCAGGTGTGGTGGCTCATACCTGTAATCCCAGCACTTTGGGAGGTCAAAGTGGGAGGATTGTTTGAGCCCAGGAGCTCCAGACCAGCAACACAGCAAGACCCTTTCTTGACCAAAATGTTGTTTAAAACTAGCTGGGTGTGGTGACACATGTCTTTAGTCCTAGCGACTTGGGAGGCTGAGGCAGGAGGATCAATTGAGCTCAGAAGTTTGAGGCTGCAGGGAGCTGTGATCGCACCACTGCACTCTCTCCCGGATGACAGAGAAAGACCCTGTCTCTACAAGAATAAAAAATAAAGAAGCCGTGTGCAATGACTCACACCTGTAATCCCAGCACTTTGGGAAGCAGAGACGAGAGCATTGCCCGAGCGCAGCCTGAGCAATATGGCAAGACCTCATCTCTACAATAAATCAAAAAATTAGCCAGGTGTGGTGGCACACCCCTGTGGTTCCAGCTACTTGGAAGGCTGAGGCGGAAGGATCGCCTGAGCCCGATCGGTCGAGGCTGCGGTGGCTGTGAGCGTGCCACTACACTCCAGCCTGGGTGACAGAGTAAGACTCCAACTCAAAAAATAAAATAAAATAAAGAGCAGAAGATACTAGGCGGTGAGGAGTCTTTGGGAACATCTTAGACTCTGCTTCCCACACCTACCCCCTTGATTGATCAATATTCATGCCAGAGGAGTGGGTCAATACTCCAAGTGCCGCCCCTGCATGTCTGGTTTGAACACCTAGAAGGCAGGGCTCATGGCTTACCCTCCCTGAAGCCCCAGTCTGCCTTCACACTCAGCTCCTATGATGACCCTGCAAGTGACTGTTAAACCAATCTGCCCTCTTGACAGGCCAGCTGGGGACAGTGAGGAAGAGGAAGATGAGGAACGGCGGGGTCGCGGCTGCACCCTCCAGTATCAGCACGCCATGGTGCGGGTCTTGACGCAATTTGTGGCTGAGGCGGCCGACCCTGGGGGACACCTGGCACACCTGCTGGGCTCAGACTGGCAAGTGGACATCACGGAGCTGATCAGTGACTTCATGCAGGTGGAGGAGCCCAGGATCGCCAAGCTACAGGGGGGACAGATCTTGATGGGGCAGGAGCTCGGGATGACCACCATCCAGGTAAGAGACCCCCAAAGATGCTAGGTACAGTAGCTCTTGTCTGTCATCCCAGTGCTTTGGGAGACTCAGGCAGGAGGATCACTTGAGGCCAGGAGTTCAAAACCAGCCTGGGCAACACAGTGAGACACCATCTCTACGGAAAAATAAAATATAAAATGAGACAGGCAGAGTGGGGCATGCCTATAGTTTCAGCTATTTGGGAGGCTGAGGTGGGAGGATCTCTTGAGGCCAGGAGTTCGAGACCAGCCTGGGCAACATAGCCAGACTCCGTCTCTGCAAAGAGAGAGAGAGAAATTCCCAAAGACAAGATCTCTCGATCTCTCTCTCTCTCTCTCTCTCTCTGTCTCTCTGTCTCTCTCTCTCTCTCTCTCTTTGCTTCTGCTGGATGTATATCAGGCTGTTTGGCAATGCTTAGAATAGCATCTATCTGTAGGGTGAATACACTTCAAGAAATTGTGAAATTGTGGAGTAAACAATTTAAGTGATATGACGATGTGACAAGAATCTCTAAATTCCCCACATGTGACTTACGTGTAAGAAACACTGGCTGGGGTCCTCTTGCATGTTGGGTGTGAAACTCTAACGCATTCTTTCCCCTCAGCCACTGTGGGTGTCACCCCTGGTGCACACGCCCTGGAGGTGAGCTCATCGCATCCAAACCCCACGGGCATGGCTGGCAACTTCTGGCTTGGCCCCTCCCCTCACCTAGGGCGGTCCGGGGTGTTGCTGCCATCTCGATCAGGTCCCGCCCCCGAACCTGATGAGAACCTGCATCTCACAAATGAGAGGAGGGAAGGAATGAAGTCATTAGGACCCCAGTGGTCTCACGGGTCCCTTCTGCTGGGGAATGGGTACGAGAGAGAACCAGGCTACAACACCAGGGCTTTGAAACAAACACTTTTACAAAAAATCAGGGGGCCCATGTGCAGGTTGCTTACATGGGTCTGTCACGTGAGGGTGAGACTTGGGCTTCTAATGAATTTATCACCACCCAAAGAGTGAGCATGGTGCCTGATGGGGGGTTTTTCCACCCTCATATTCCTCCTTTCCTCCCCCCTGGTGTCCCTCCCCCCAATCCCCCCACCCTCGGTGTCACATGCTCAAATGATCTCCAGAAGCTGAGAAGGTACCCTCAGCGAGGTGAGCAGGCTGGGTGTGAGCTGAAAGATGGCAACTGGTTTTGCTGTTAGTGTTAGAGAGACAATAGGGAGTGGTGAGGAGTGTGGTGAAGAGACCAACTGCCAGGAAGAAATGTTACAACTTTTCCAGAAAAGCTAGACATCTGTCTTTTTATATGATATCTTCTGGCTTTTTTGCCAGGTGTGTTGACTCAAACCTGTCATCCCAGCACTGTAGGAGACCGAGGAGTGTCACTTGAGCCCAGGAGTTCAAGACCACAGTGAGCTATGATTACACCACTGCACTCCAGCCTGGGCAGCAGAGCAAGACCCTGTCTTGATAAATAGATTAAGAAAATAAAATATTCTGGCTTTTAACACTGATGACTGCTATTTTTATTTTAAAGTCATGTATATGTCAAACAAAACATCTGCCCTGTAGACATAGCACTTCCAACCACTACAGTGGACTAAGAAGTTGAAAAACCTGAATTCCCCTGGTAAATCCACAGGCTAAATGGATGCTCATGCCTGGAAATGTGGACTGAGATGAGAACTTGGTATCCACCCCTCACTCTAAGAGATCACTTAAGTACAAAGAGGAAATGACACCATGTCCAGAAATCAGGCATCAGGCAGGAGCAGGGGGTCAGCCTCCCACACGTTAAACATGGAGATGTTTCCCTGGGCCATCCAGCCCTGGGACCCTTGGGCCTTTCATTCATTCTCACTGTCCACCTTCTTCTGGGGACTCAACCCTCACACTCACTGCCACTCGAAGGGACACAGTCACACCCAGAAGGTGAAGAGGGCATTTGTGTAGAAACAGAAAGCTTTCATGACTGGGCTGAAGGAGGCCTGGAAAAATGGCTTCATCTTCCTAAATATCACCAAAAGCTTGAAAAGACGAAGACGTCAAGAAAACAGGTGAGCAGAGGACAGAACCCAGTTCCTCCAGAAGGTGAAGGGGTCACGGGGAGGGTCTTAAATCAGCTCTTTGCATTTTGGGTGAAGGTGGGGGATGGAAACGTGATTACACATACACAGACGTTTCTTTCTTTCTTTCTTTCTTTCTTTCTTTCTTTCTTTCTTTCTTTCTTTCTTTCTTTCTTTCTTTCTTTCCTTCCTTCCTTCCTTTCTTTCTTTCAAGTTGGGGTCTTGCTCCATTGCCAGGCTCAATCATGACAATCACAACTCACAGTAGCCTCAACCTCTTGGACTCAGTCAATCCTCCTGTCTCAGATTCCCGAGTAGCTGGGACTATAGGCATACTCTACCACATTCAGCTAATTTTTAAAATTTCTGTAGAGACATAGTCTCACAGTGTTACTCAGGCTCATCTCGAACTCCCGGGCTCAAACATTCCACCCACCTCAGCCTCTCAAAGTGCTGAGATTATAGGCGTGAGCCACTGCGCCCGGCCCACAGATGTCCCTCAAACGCAGGATTTCCTGTTCAGGGTCTAGGCTGTCCACACACCTCACTTCCCGGGTCATTCCTGGCATCCAGGGGAGAAGGGAGACTTAGGGATGTTGGCACCGGGACAGATGCTCAGAGCTCCTGTTTATCAGAGTCAACACGATGGTACTCCAAATGTCACCAGTGTCACGCTCAGTGTTTCCCAAGCATAGAATGTGAACTCAGTGACATGCAACATGACCGGGGGGGATGGTGCCAGGACCAGTGAGCCCCATCCTCTAGCTACACGCTGGTTTTCTTTTTTGTTTGTTTGTTTTTTTACACACTGGTTTTCATGGGCCAGAGGGGAAGATGATGTGAATCTATAACTAATACATCAAGCCGTTGTTCTTTGGTGATTTGAAGGTTTGTTTTTTTTTTTAAACAAATCATTTAAGTGAATAATGTCGGCCAGAATATACACCAGAGAGCAGTAGAGGCAGCGTGTGCTATAGGAGAATCACCAGGTTAGCACCTGGATGGAGACGTCAGAGCCTCTGTCTGGCTGGGTGGTGCACAGAGGGAAGGGAGGCTGGTCTGTAGGGTGCACAGGCTGAGCCCTACTCTGCTCCTGACACTGCCTCGCTGCTGCATAAAAGATCATCACGTTTTCTCAACTTGACACATGTTTTAGCTGCATCAGTGGGAAAGGCTCATTCTCGTTTATTCTGTTCCCTCACCCCTCTGTGTCCCTGCCCTCAGGGACAGGGCAGCCGAAAGCTTCTCATGTCCTGTTGGTTCTGCCCTCAGATCCTGTCTCCTCTGTCGGATGCCATCCTGGCCGAGAAAACCATCACCGTGCTGGATGAGAAGGTGACCATCACGGACCTCGGGGTGCAGCTGGTCACAGGGCTGTCACTGTCCCTGCAGCTCAGCCCTGGGAGCAACAGAGCCATCTTCGCCACCGCAGTGGCTCAGGAGCTGCTACAGAGACCCAAACAGGTATGGAGGTGGGCTGAGATGCAGCCCAGGAGTGGCTCACACCAGGCGGGGCACATAGGGGGTGAGGCTCACACCAGTTGGTCTCATACCAGGGGGATTCACACCAGGAGCGGCTCACACCGGTAGGGTCTCACACCAGTTGATCTCATACCAGATGGGGCTCATACCAGTGGGACTGACACCGGGAGGGGCTTACACCAGGAGGGGCTCACACCAGTTGGTCTCACACCAGGTGGGGCTCACGCAAGGAGCAGCTCACACCAAGAGGAACTGACACCAGGTAGGGCTCATACCAGGTGGGACTCACACTGGGCAGAGCCCCTACTGGGAGGGGCTCACACCAGGTGGGGCTCACACCCAGTGGGTCTCACACCAGGTGGGGCTCACACCAATTAGTCACACACCACCAGGTGGAGCTCATACCAGGCGAGGGTCACAGTATTAGGTCTCACACCTGTTGATCTCACACCAGGTGGGGCTCACACCAGGAGTGGGTTCACCCCAGTGGGTCTCACATCAGGTGGGGCTCACACCAGGATTGGGTTCACCCCAGTGGGTCTCCCACCAGGTGGGGCTCACATGAGGAGGGGCTCATACCAGGAGGCATTCACACCAGGTGCGTCCCCACCAGGCGGTGGGGGGTACACATCAGGTGTTTCTCGGTCTGCAAAGGACACTTGTGAAGCAGGTGACTGTTCTCCCTGCTGTTTTCCAGCTCCCTCAAGGGGAGACCCCAAAATAAATACATGCATAGACATTGCAGCAGGGAAAGAATGACAAAGCTCCAGGAGCCAGAGCACTGGAGGAAAGCTCCACTCCCCCTCCATCATGCCCAGGTGGCCACTGGTGCTACCCACGCCCTTCCTGGGGGCTGGGGCAGGTGGATGTGAGGAGACACACAGCAGGAGCTGGGGACAGGTCTGGGGAGGGGGAGGGTGGTGGGTGGGAGGGAGTTGCTTCCATACCCTCGAGTGTGTAGCTCAGGGCAGAAGCAGAGAACCTCTGGGGATGTCAGGTTTCCTTCGATCTTACTTGGAACCAGTGTGGACTAGTAGTCTGTGTTGTATGTGGCGTGTGTGCTACGTATGTGTATTGTATATATGTATATGTAAGTTGTATATGTGTGTGTGTTGTATTGTCTACATGTATGCATGTGTGCCTTATATATGCAAGGTCTGCTCTGTTGTGTGTTTGTGTTGTACACGTGCCTATGTGCATGTCTGTGTGTGCATGTATGTATGTATGCATGTTATAAACGTATTGTGTGCTGCATGTAGTGTGTGATGCATGTTTTTGTGAGTTGATATAATGATTTCTAAACCGAGGGAACAGTGAATAGAAGCATGCGAGTACAGTGTGTCTATCCCTCTCCCTAAAGGTAGCTAAACATCACTTAGGAGGAACGTAGGTATTGGGTGAATCTTGCTGGTTGCAGGCTGTTCATTCTCTGTGTGCCCATGAAAAGGGGCCATTCTCCCTGGGGAGGCCGGGAGCCCTGCAGCCATCCAGGGAGATATTCTTGGCCGCCTCCTTCCTGGGTTAGGAGCCCTGTCTCCGCAATCACTCAGCAGGTGACCTCCTTGGTGCTGCCGTCGCTTCCTGGCAGTTGAAGCTGTGTCTGCCTTCAGAGCAGGAAGGAGCTTAGGCCACACTTCCAGGGCACAAAGAGTCCCACTTCCCCGGCCTATGCTTGTCCCAAAAGCTCCCCTGCCAGGGGAGCTAATCTCTTGACCCTTATACGAAGGTCTTTGTGTGCAGGTTTGGATTAGAAAACACTTGAAAGTGGATAACCCTGATAACAGGTATGAATTTGAACTCTTGACCAAAGCAAACCTCCTTTTTCTCAAGGAAGGCTGTAGCCATGGGGCAAATTACACACACAGCAAAGGAGACATTGCTGGAGGCTTTTTCCTGTCTTTATGGGTGATGAAATCAGGCGACCACCAGCTAGGAGTTAGGGAAGCTGATAAAAAAAAAGCAGCCTAAATAGCCCCAAGAGCTAATCTGCTCCTGACATGCGCAACTAAACAGCTACCCCGAGATTTGCTCCTTAGTGGTATGCACAACCCTGCCTCCTCCCTGGCTCTGGCACAGGGACTTTGAGAAATCCATTGCACATTTGAATTTTCTGCTCCGATGTCAGGACAGATTGAAAGAACCCGGTAAGCCACGTCCAGTGACTCTTACACTGTGTCTTGGCAGGGATTCCCCTTGGCAGCTGGCCCAAGCCAGTGTCTAACAAAATAGTATTTCTTGGCTGGGCTGGAGGAAGGAGCAGAGGTCACCAGCCACATGTGAGGAGCCTTTCTTCTTGCTTCCAAAGGCCAAACAACACCAGGGTAAAATCTGCCATCGCGTGGCCAGGGGCCGGTGGGTCGCAAGACAGAGAGACGCACCGGAGCACGCTTAAACAACAGCATGTTCGGAGGGAGAGAGGACCCTTCTGGACCCAACCAGGCGACCTTGAGAAACGGAAGGTTGACAGTCTGCTTCTGCCCATTCTCTCCCTCCCCTGTTTTTATTTTGGCCTAATTCAACCTTCTCTCCCTATGGATAAGGCTGTGTCCTCCGTTGCCCACGTGTGGCTTGTCATTGTGCTTCCCTCCCGACTGCATGTGAGCCTGTTATGCCAACTGCTTCAGTCCTGTCCTTGTTTCAGATTTCAGAGGCAGGGGGAGGGAGACAGAGGGAAAGAGACGAGGTGAGAAAGGGAGGGAGAAAGCGAGAGGAGAACGAGAAGGAGGTGGACAAGGAAGGGGAGAGGGAGGGAGAGGAAGATGGAGGGGGGAGATAAGGAAGGGGAAGGGGGAGAGGGAAAAGGAGAAAAAGAAAGAAGGAGAAAGAAAGAGAGGTGGGAGATAGAGGGAAGGAGAGAGAAGACAGAGAGAGGCAGAGGGATAGAAAAATGGAGGGGGGCCGGGCTCGGTGGCTCAGCCTGTAATCCCGTGCTTTGGGAGGCCGAGGTGAGTGGATTTGCCTGAGCCCGCGGGTTCAAGACCCGCCTGGGCAACTTGGCGAGCCCTCATCTCTACAATAAATAAAAAATTAGCCGGGCGTGGTAGCACACGCCTGTAGTTCCAGCTACTTGGAAGGCTGAGGGGAAAGGATCGCCAGAGCCCAGCAGGTCGAGGCTGCGGTGGCCGGGAGCGTGCCACTGCGCTCCAGTCTGGGCGACAGAGTGCGACTCCAACTCCAAAAAAAAAAGAAAGAAAGAAAGATGGAGCGGGGAGAGAGAAAGGGAGGGGCTGGCCAGCTCAGTGCTGCTGAGATTGACAGCTCTGGTCGCCCTGTCTCCCTGGCTCTGCTCAGCCTCGGGGCATGCCGCACCATGGAGTGTCCCGGGCTATTTGCTTCTGGGCTTGGGGTAGAGCCAGTCCACCCAGAGGGAACGAGGAGGGAGTCACACTGGACCAGCCAGCTCACTCCAAGCACAGCGACATCTCTGAAATGAAAGGCTTGCGTTAAATCAGTTATCCCCACTGATCCGCTTGGTCAAACTGTTCTCAAAGACGGTCATCCAAACCAACAAAGTACGACAGGCGAGAGACTGAGGTGTGTGCACTCATGGGCCCTGGCTGCCTCTGGCTCCCGGCCTTCCCCAGTTGGGCTAGGCGAGGGCAGGGGTGGAAGCTGAGGCAAGGACTTTCCAGCCGTGTGTTTCTCTCTCTGACTGGTCTAACCTCTCACCTCCAAGCCAAGGTGATGTCCCCAGACCCATCCAGGCCTGCTCCTGTGGGCCCAGAGACAGCAGGACCAAGGACACCAAGCCTGAGGCAACCCAGGGGCGTCCTTGTCTAGAGAGGGGCTTTCAGTCGTGTTGCAAGTAGCAAGTTGAGACTCGGTGTCAAAGCAGCTGGAAAATAATGTCATAAATGTCTTTCATCTAAACATGTAACACTTGTAAGCGACCCAGCTCACCAGTCACAGCCTTTGCCATGCAACTTATTATCGGGCAGAAGCAGATTCTGCACAGCCTGAGAGGACCCAACTTTCTCTTAAGAAATTTGGGGGAAGCTGAGTTCGGTGACTCAGCCTGTAATCCCGTGCCTTTGGGAGGATGAGGTGAGTGGATTGCCTGAGCTCGCGGGTTGGAGACCCGCCTGGGCAGGCGAGACCTCATCTCTATAATAAATCAAAAAACGAGCCGGGCATGGTAGCGTGCGCCTGTAATTCCAGCTACTCGGAAGGCTGAGGCGGAAGGATCGCTGGAGCCCAGCAGGTTGAGGCTGCGGTGGCCGGGAGTGGCCGCTGCACTCCAGTCTGGGCAACAGAGTGAGACTCCAACTCAAAAAAATAAAAACTTTGGGGGGGAAAAAGCCAATCTTTTTTCTGAAATGTGTAATGCTGGCCCTATTTTGCGGTTTATTGTTTCATTTTACTTTTACAGCTTTTTAAGAATTTGTTCTCTTTCTTACCCTTGGTACTTCTCATCCCTTATTTCTTCACCATCTACACAGTTTCTCTTTGTTTTCATGGTCGTCGTTTTGCCACGGTGAGCCTCTTTCACGACAACTTGGCGCTCAGTGAGTTTTCAGCCCTTTTTTATTAACTTGCTTATGTTCCTCCACAGGAAGCGGCCATCAGCTGCTGGGTCCAGTTCAGTGATGGCTCGGTCACACCCTTGGATATCTATGATGGGAAAGACTTCTCCTTGGTGGCCACGTCCTTGGATGAGAAGGTGGTCTCCGTCCACCAAGACTCCAAGTTCAAGTGGCCTATCATGGCTGCTGAAACCGAGGGGCAAGGCGCTCTGGTCAAGGTTGAAATGGTCATCAGTGAATCATGCCAGAAGTCCAAGCGGAAGAGCGTGCTGGCTGTCGGAACAGCCAACATCAAAGTTAAGTTTGGCCAGAACGATGCTCATCCCAACGCCAGTGACAGCAGGCACCCAGGGGCGGGAGTTCACCTGGAAAATAAGGTCGGTGATCGAAGGCCCCAAAAACCCTTGCAGGAATGGGGGGGTCAAGGAGGACAGTACTATGGCAGTTCTTCCATGGGTCTCATGGAAGGACGGGGCATCACCACGGACAGGTCGACCCTGCAGAGGAAGAGTGGCCAGGAAGGCCTTGTGGATCATGACGGCCACGTGCAGACCATCCCCAGTGACCTCACCAGTTTCCCAGCCCAGGTGGACCTCCCCAGAGGCAACGGAGCCATGGACGAGAGTGATCTCATGCAGGCATCCAAGGGACTGAGTGACTTGGAAATAGGGATGTATGCTCTGCTGGGTGTCTTCTGCCTGGCCATTTTGGTCTTCTTGATCAACTGTGTGACCTTCGCATTAAAGTACAGGCACAAACAGGTTCCCTTCGAGGAGCAGGAAGGAATGAGTCACCCCCACGACTGGGTGGGGCTGAGCAACCGCGCAGAGCTGCTGGAAAATCACATCAACTTCGCCTCTTCCCAAGACGAGCAAATCACTGCCATCGACCGGGGCATGGACTTCGAGGAGAGTAAATACCTCCTCAGCACGAACTCCCAAAAAAGCATCAACGGACAGCTGTTCAAACCTTCAGGATCCACAATGGCGGACGGGAGAGATCAGAGAGGCGAGCCCCCTGCATCCCCTACCTCAAAAAGGAAAAGAGTGAAATTCACTACGTTCACCACCGTCCCCTCAGACGACACGGGTCCCGCCAGGAGCTCCATCTTGACAAGCAGTGACGACGACATCAAGTGGGTCTGCCAGGACCTGGCCCCCGGGGAGTGCAGGGAGCTTCACGGCTATATGGAGAGGCTACACGAAAATGCCTAAGCTGGGCAGACACGGACATCTGTTCTCACTCACCTTTTAGCCTTTAATGCCAGGGTGTGTTAGCAACCGTGCACCCAGGGCGGAAACGAAATGGCAGCAGCACGAGACCGGGGTGACACTGCCCACAGAGCCTCGGAAAATGACCTCAGCTCTGCGGGGAAGGCCCAGGGTCGGCATCGATGCACACGTCCCAGAGTACAGTATCTTGCTTCCAGTTAAGAGGTTAATCATGCATAGCAAGATATTTTTAACTTGGAACACAAACGGGTTCTGAATCACTGAGCTTTTGAGACTTTCCAGGAAAGAACAGCCTCCCTCTCTCTCTCTTTCTCTTTCTCTCTCTCTCTCTCTCTCTCTCTAATCGAAGCTATTTGGATATTCTAAAACCCACATGGCTCCAATATTCAATATCACAGACAAGGGGAGAGCAGTGAGACCCAGGCGGGGCAGCAGCGGATCAATGGGAGAAAGTGTGTCATCTCAGCTGGAGCGGCATGTCTCGCTGGGGGCGTGACTGCAGACGGTCAGTGCCGCCGTCGGCTCTGGGAGGTGGCACTGGGAGCCATTCTTTCTCAGACACTGGGCCAAAGGTAGCCCAGGCCGCTGATGGACCACGGCAGTTGCTGACAGGGACTAAAAGGCGAAAAGTGGGCAAAGAGGACACAAATATCTTTGGGACGACATGCCAAGGACAAACACACATGAATCCTCTGAGCATTTCAGAGCATTTCTGTATTTGTAAACTAGGGATACTGGGCATAGAATTTCAATCAGGTTCAAAGAACCGGCTCTTTTTAGCAAGTTTGCTATGTTTAAATTTGTATTTCTTTACAGCATTGCCATCTTTCCAAAAGCCGTTGGTCATTTGTGCATAGGGGACAAGGAGAGGGCGGTTTCCGGTATTTCCTGAGTCCCTTTTTTCCCCGCTTCCAGGTTGTGTGTCAACTCCCAGGTGACATTCTGGAGAGAGAAGCACCCCCCCACCTCACCCTGGGCATATGCCACACACTGTCCATCTCTGAAGAGGCTGGTCTTTGGGTGTGGGCAGGATTCATGATGAATTCAACACCAGGCGACGTACAGTCCCTTGCCTTTCTAGAAGGAAGAGGGGGCCGCTTGATGGAGGGGTCTGTCGCTATTCATGGATGGCCTTCTGTCCAAGAATGTGCCCTCAAGGCTGCTGAGACAAATCTGGGTGTCTGTGTGGGTGTGTAGGACAGACAGAGCTAGGATTCAGGGGGTGTAAGAGGGCGTCCGGCAGGAAACCTGGCCCTCGCCCCCTTGGAGGCGCAGAGAGATGGGAGCCATCATCGTTTGTTAGGACCCAAATGACTCTGAGTGTCTCCATAACCCTTCATGCCAAGCCTGCGAAGATGGAAGGGGACAAGAGCTCGGAGGGTCCCTGTCCTGTCTCATGCTTACGCCACGGCAAGGGGCAGTGGCTGGATAAGTGACAGCTAGACATGATCCTGAAAACGACAGGCAGAGGGGGTGGGGCAGAAGAGACCATGCTGTTGAATCTCTCTCTCTCTCTTTTTCCCTCTATGTCATTTTCTCTTCTCTTTAGATCCCTCTTTCAATTTTGTTCTTTCTATGTATGTCTCTGTCTCTCTGAACGTATCTCTCTGCTTCCTCTCTGCCTTTAATTCTGTGTGTCTCCATCCCTTCTCTCTCCCTCCCTCCCTCTCTCTGCCTGTCTCTTTCTCCTCTCTTTCTCCCTTTCTCTCCCTCTCCCTTTCTCTCTCTTCTCCCCCCACATAATTGAATCCTCCTTAGACAATGTGTGTGTACATCCTACCCAGTTACCCTGTCAGCCTCCTCCAGCTGTGGTGCTATCAGCTGCTCTGAAGCTGGGATTCCTGCAGCCTGTAAGCCACCTACTCCTGTCCCCAAGTTGACTCACCTTGTTTGGTGGGGTGATTAGACCCCTTTTCGGTGATAATCCTTTGCAGCCTCCTTACATTTCTTTCCATTCTTACCCGTGTGATGTTCCGTTGAACACTGCAGCCGCGGCCCGCTCCCAGACCCTCCCGCGTGTAGAATGTACTGTAGATTGTAAGAATGTAATATATATTTATAAATGTACCGACTGTAAATATAAAGTTTGCATTCAGCAGCTTTATGGCTGTCCTCTTGTTTTTCCACGTGCTGACACCCTCCAAGCAGCCGGCATCAATTGCAAATGGCCCTCCAAACGCTGTGGCTTTTGGTAAATGAAATTGCAGATTTAAGAACCCCAGCACAATCCAATTACACCCTGACGTCGTGTAGCGCTGCTCTGCACTAAGGGGATGTTGACACATGTGACAAAGTGCATGGTGTACTAAACATCTCTCTTTCAGGACCCGAAAGGATTTGCAAATAAATCACATCCGCAATGCTCTCCTGAAAGCCTGCTAACTGATGGTAGTGAGACTTTTGGCAGGCGTGTGTATGGGGGGTCCAAAAAACCTGGCATTTGTTTATAAAAAGTTGTGTATTTATTCTGACACGTTTAAACTTCAACCACCTTCAAAGGACTCTGTTGAACGCAATACACCTATCGGGATGCTTTTCCCATTGCTCAAAACAGTTTTCTTTTGTTGTTTTTTTGTTGCTGTTTTTTGAGTTGGGGTCTCACTCCGTCACCCAGACTGGAGTGCAGTGGCCGCTCCCGGCCACCGCAGCCTCGACCTGCTGGGCTCCGGCGATCCTTCCGCCTCAGCCTTCCAAGTAGCCGGAATTACAGGCATGCGCTACCACGCCCGGCTGATTTTTTGATTTATTGTAGAGATGAGGTCTCGCCAAGTTGCCCAGGCGGGTCTCGAACCCGCGGGCTCAGGCCATCCACTCACTTCAGCCTCCCAAAGGCGCAGGGTTACAGGCTGAGCCTCAGAGCCCGGCTCAAAACAGTTTTTGAACTCATCAATTTGGATGTCTTTTAGTGCTTCTGCCGTTTCTAATTTCACCTCTTCCACATTGGCAAAATGTTTCCCTTTGAGAACTTTTATCATCTGGAAAAAAGAAAAAATCACTCGGGGCGAGATTGAGTAATAAGGAGGGTGGGGCACAGATGTCATGTCGATTTTGGTCAAAGACTCCTGCTGAACACTCAGCGTGGAGTGAACAGATCCATTGTCATGTTACTTGTTTGCCACAACTCAGGGCGTTTCTTCCACTAATCGTGACACAACCTTCCATTTGACCTAGAGGAACACATTCCAAGTGTAGTATAATTCTGGGGTTTTGGGGGGTTTTGGGGGGGGGTTTTGTTTTGTTTTGTTTTGGTTCCCCTCTTCCCCCATATCCCAGTCTCCCTTTGGACTGGAGCAAAGAAAATACTCCAACCTTCCCGTGGGTCTCAAATGTGCCTGCACACAGTGACTCTGGGTGGGGTTTAAAAAGGTTGAGCTTTACATCTCTGTATCCACTGCAGCCCAAGTCAGTTCCACATAAAGGAAAGGTGCACACGGCCCTTATATTCATGCCACTAGCAGCAAGTGATGGGTCATCCGTGGTTATGCAGCTAGTCCCTACTGAACAACTGCTCTGTGCCAGAAAGAGCCGTGAGCACTGGACACAGAGCCATCCCTAAGTATGACAAACCACACCTTCTCTCAAAGGCCTTACCTACAACTGGAGTGATGGGGAGATTAACAACAAACAAAATAACGTTTAGAGAGTTATAAAAGACAACAAAACCGCTTACAGATAAAGATTTAGCCAGTGTTTAAAACTTTGGCAATTTCATCTTTGCAAATGTGGATTTCTATAAACACCTGAAAAGGTAGGACCTTGGGGCTGGCTTCCAATCCTGCCTGGCCCTGATTAGGTGGAGTGCCACTGAGGGCACCTGTCCACTCATGGTGTCTTCTAGACCCAGAGCTGACCAACTCTGTCAGCCAGGCTGGAGTGCAGTAACTCGTTCACAGTCACCACAGCCTCGACCTGCTGGGCTCGGGTGATCCTTCCGCCTCAGCCTCCCAAGTAGCTGGAATCCATATACCACCATACTTGGCTAATTTTTTTTGATTTATTGTAGGGCCAAGGTCTCGCCGTGTTGCTCCGGCTGGTCTCAAATCCCTGAGCTCAGGCAATTCTCTCACCTCCACCTCCCAAAGTGCTAGCATGACAGGAGTGAGCCAATATGCCCCGTACCACTTCTTATAATGGAGAACTATTTCTCCCCGCTGGTGTCTCTACCTGAAAGTGCGGAAAACAAATACAGGCAAAGTGAGCTGTGTGTTTTCAAGACAACTAGGAAAGAGGATATTGCTTTATGAAAGAGAAGAATCTTGTGTGTCTCCTAGGCATGTTTAGAACGTCGCTGTCTAAAGAACACACTTAGGATGCCATTGTGATCGGCATGTCCAGAATTGAGAAAGAGCTGCTGCGAATATCTTGACTGAAGTTTTCACGGGCGTCTTTGGGGTATGAATAAAGCCGGGGACACTGCCTGGCTTCTCTCATACCTGCCTGCTGGCTCTTCTGTGTCACCTGTAGGGCCCTTAGGGAAATTCCCAACCACCCAAGGGAGCCAGTCCCCAAAGCCCACGGGAAACAGCCTCACCAGCGCCCCCAGTGGACGGTGCCCTTGCGGCTTCCCGGTTGCAGAATTCCGGCCTTAGCAAAGTACCACAAACGGGGTAGCTCAGCCAGCTGAAATGTATTGTCTCACAGGGACAGGTGTAGGCAGGGTTGGTTCCTTCTGGGTTTTGAGGGCGTCTGTTCCTGGTCTTTTTGATGTGGGTTTTGAGGGCGTCTGTTCCTGGCCTCTCGCCTGGCTTCTGTGGTTTGCAGGGAATCCTCAGTGCTCTTTGGCTTGTAGAAGCATCACCCAACCTCTGCCCCCATTTTCACACAGGACACTTCCTGTGTGTGTGTCTATGTCCAAAGTCCCCAACCCCCTTTAAGAGACAAGGTCTCATTCTGTCACCCAGGCTGGAGTGCAGGGGTGCGATCATAGCTCACTGCAGCCTCTAACTCCTATGCTCAAGCAATCCTCCCTCCTATGCCTCCAGAGTAGATGGGACTACAGGTGCTCACTTTATTTTTTATTTTGTTATTTTTAGAGATGGAGGGGGGGTCTCACTATGTTGCCCAGACTGGTCTCGAACTCTCCGGCTTCAAGTAATCCTCCCATCTCCGCCTCCCTAGTTGCTGGGATTACAAGCATGAGCCACTGCGCCTGCCTCCAAATTTCCCCTTTTTGTGAACACAATAGGCATATTGTATCATCTAAATCTGACCTCCTCTTAACTAATGGCATCTGCAAAGACTCTATTTCCAAACAAGGTCACATGCTGGTACTAGGGGTTGGGACTTCTATGTGGGC